TGAGGTTAATGATAGCAGTAGTCAGCAGGAAGGTAATCCACTGCTTTAGCTAGTAGTACTGGTCCAGGGTAGCTAAAAGTCTTCAAAAGATCACAGAATGATTTAAGGTGGAAGGGACCTCAGGAGGCCTGTAGCCCAAGCTCCTGCTCCAAGCAGGGTGAGGTGCAAGATCAGAGCAGGTTGCTTAGGGCTGCATCCAGTGGGAGCTTGGAAATCACCAAGGATGGTGGCTGCAAAACTTCTCTGAGCACCAACCTGCTCGGATCCATGACTATCCACTGGGTGAAAATGGTTTTCCTTATACACAGCCTGAAGTTCTCTTTTTTCAGTCTATGCCTGATTTCTCTCAATGTCCCTCCATACAGAACTGGAAAAGCCTGACTCAAAAAGCTGTCATCCAAGGCAGCCACAGCTGTGGTCTCTGCCTGCAGCCCCACTGCTGATTTGGGACTTTACTGCTGGGAAAGTTGTCCCAAACTTGCTTTGGGAGGAAAATGTGTGGCATGTTTCCACATTTGCTTAAAAATTCTCTATAGTTTACCACAAAGCAATGCATGAAATAACCCGTAAAGTCATTCAAAGATGGCAAAAGTCAATACCATTCTCTGTGCATAAGACATAGGTGTTACTGGACAGTGGAACTAACCTCACACTTAAAGCAGGAGTGACATTTGTATATGCTGCTGTCTGCCTCTGACATGTATGGATCCTGGTTTTCTATCATATGAAGTAAAACATAATAAATTCTATAAATCTTCTGAGTATTTTAACACTCAAATTCCATCTGTTCCTTGAAATTAAGAGCAGAGGATAAGGCTATTTAAGAATGTATTTTTTTTCTTTAAAAATAAATCAAATACTGAAAAAAAATTAAACACCAGAAATTGCCACAGTAATGATAAAATATACCTTGCATACATCCTGTAATTATTTCTGCGTCTCTTCCACACCTCCAAATGCACTTTCTGTAGTATTAATTGCAATATATTTTTGACAATAGGGAAATGTAAGTATGTGACAGAAGCAATACTTGAAATATATTTCAGCAATACGATAGACAAAAAATATTAATTATGTAATTAGACTACTACACCATTTAAACCTCAATTTCAGTGCCTTAGTGGCACTTTAAAAACATATTACATATATTTTAAACACGTATTTCTATTTTTGAGCAGATTACAGCCTGCCTGCCTGATAGCTCATCTGAATCATTCTCAGACATCAGAAAACTGCTTGTAAATACTACTGTTTACACTTTAACACATACCATACCTAGGTGCATTCTGTGGTGGTAAGGCTGGATCACACTAGCACAAGATTCTGTTTCCATGGATCAGAGCAGGGGACTTTTACCGAAACTGTTCCTACCCTTTTCTCTGTATATGCCTAGCTGAGCTGAAGTGCTCCTTTTTATAACAAAAAAAAAAAAAAAGGCAGCAATGCACACAGCATTTTCTCCGTGTGCCTTTCAGGTATTCGCATGAGACTCAGCAGGTTTCTTAGGAAATGCCACTTCCTGGAGAAAAAAAGAGAATGCTGAGAAACTCCACCCCCTCCTCCTCTCGCTCCAGATCTGACACCCAGGATTCCTCAGGCTGTTTTTCCAGTTGTGTGGCTGACTCTGACAAAGGGAGAGAAATTGGAAGGCAATTCTCTTCTTACAACTTCCACACCTGTATTTCCACCTACCTTCTACACTGTAGTGTTTCTCATGAAACTTCCTTGTTTTAAGTTGCCAAACAATAGCAGCTCATGGCCTAGGGTGTGTACTTAGCATGCCTGAACCACCATACAGCCCTTCCCTTTTCCTCTTCCAGCCCTCGGTCCTGGCAGAGGTACTGAAGTGGAAAGCCCCACTTCACCTTCCCCATCAGTATCAAATCTATGCAGTCCTACGCATGCTCCTTTCACACCTTTTCCCAATCTAAACGTACTTATCATCGGTTACCTTTGAAATATTCACTCATTTTCACATATTCTTTCCCAGGAATATGTGAGGCAACTTAAGAGTCCAGATGCTGAGTTATTAGGCAGGTGGTACGGTCCTGTGATAGGGCTGTTTCAGTCACAGTTGAGTTTGATGACAAACTGAATGGTTTAATCCCACCATCACAGTTTAGGCCCACTCAGCTATGCAAATCACAGCCAAAAATGTGCAGTCACAGCTGTGCTGCTGTTCACTGCTAGAGACACCCAGTGCCTGATTTGAGGTCTATGATTTTCAGATGTTTCTTCAACTGTCCCTGAAAGCTGCCACTGTGCATGTGTTTGGGCACCCAAAATAATTAATCATGCTTGAAAATCTTGTGTCACACAGTATGGCAGAAGTACTTTGCTAACAAGATCATCAGATGAAGATGAGTGAGAATTTCACTGTTTTACAGAAAGGACTTAGGAGAACAAGGGGTTGCTTAAAGCTTAATTACTGTTGTATTTCTGTAAGGTGAAAGGGGAATAAAAAAGAAAAATGATGATGGATGATAGTGTAGCGAAGTATACAAGTCTAACACCTTGTTTAGACTTCAGAACTGTTGTTCAGCAATGCTGTTGATGGAAATACTTTCCTCTGATGTTAGCTGGGAGAAGTCCTATTCAGAAATAATTGGAATGGCTAAGGAGCCTCTGGTCAGTATTGCCTATTTCATCTGGTGACCTAGAGCAAAGTAGACAGCAAATTGACTTTGGCTGTGACAAACCAAGTCTGTTTAAAGGGAGTTTGCTATGCTTTTAAGAGAAAGTTTAGAAGAAACCTGTCTGGAGAGAAGCAAATTAAAAAGGGAAGCAAGAAAACAAGGCAGAGAAAGTAAGAGAGAGCTCTTTCTGAGTAGAGAAATATGGTCTTTTTCTACTCTGTAATTTTGCAGGGTGTTTTAAGAAAGTTAGCTCACTCTCACTGATGTTTTTGAAAGCTCTTATCAAAACAGATTGTACTTTGCCATATATTAATTGAATCAATTCACAGCCTCTTTTCTCTAATGAGCGACGTACAGTAAATTAAATTTGTCTAGTTTTGACCAGAATTTGGTAAGTTTCTGATGGTTTTAGATACTGTTAAATATTAGGTTTCTCTAGCTAAATATTAGGTTTCCCTAGCTATCATGTAACACTAGATATCAAACACTACACCTTTTAACACCTGTCATGTCCCATTTGCTATCTAGTCACAGCCATAATTTTGCTGTTCTTCAGCAGGCACAAAGTTGTAATTAAGAACTACAGGGCTGTTTAAAGGGCTTAGTAAAATTGTACTCACTGGGGATGTCCTCAGGGCCCACAGCTGAAATGCAGTTACCAGTCAAAAATTCAGCATACTAATGGGGATAGGACTCCAGTTCTCCATGTCCATGTCACTTGAACTCTGAGGTTTGATTTATTCCCTCTATGGCTTCCAACTCGTTCTAACCAAGAAAGCACTGCTTTACATATGCATTAGCCAGGTAATTACTCTAACATACCTCCAAATATTGCCACAGTCAAATAAATGATTAATATTTGAATATATAAGTTTGATACAAAGTCATCAAAATTACATAAGTTATTACGTAGTGAAGGCTGGCTATATGTGTGTATTACATATGTTTGAAAACTGTGAAACCTAGGAACATCCTATTTTCTTGGCAGAAAGTATGTGAAGACCAGCCCATTTGTACCAGCACAGGGGATCAGGTGTGAGACTGTGTTGCACTTGGGAGTACCAGCATGTCCTCTCAAGCATTATTACTTATAATGCACTGTGAGTATGCCTGCTTTGCAGACACGTGAATGACAAGGCTGCTGCTCCAGGAAGCTTGTATCTTGACTTATGTACAACACAAAGGCTAATAGTTCAAGTGCTTATGAGAACAAAGAATGAGTCAGGTCTTCAGGGCAAACTTGGTTAATAGAAGGCTTGAGGAAAATATTGGGCTTTAAGGCCATTCCTACAGGCTCTGGTTTTCCTTCATAAAATAAATAATGAAGACCCAATTTTTAATTACTTTAGATAATTCAAGAACGTCAAAATTCCTGGGGTTTATGTACCACATTCACTTGGACATTGTATGCTCTTGCACTCTAATTTGAACTCGTGGAGGTTTGTTTTGCAAAAATAACACTTATTAGCTGCAATAGCCACTGCTAATAAACAAAAATAACATGCGGCAATGTTTTCATGGCCTATCTGTATTTGCCCTTCTATACTCAGTCCCTTTGCTGTCATCTTCATTTTAGTAATGACGTAACTTAGGTGAGTAAAGTAACTCATAAATTCTTTCTGGAAAGATTAATTTACTGATACATTTAAAATGAAAAAATGGCTACTTTTGAAGCGAAAAAATCTTCAAAACCTTTTTGATATCTCAAAATGAAACTGAAAAGGGTACTAGCCCACTGCTGTTTTTCAGTCAACCAATGTTTCAGGACAGATCTCGAGGGTGCCAGACTGTTTGGTGTAAGATTTGTAACGACCTGAAGTAAAGGCACCCTAACCTGCGTCCCGAATCTCCGTCGTTGTTCTGGATTTGTTGGACGACCTGTCAGAGAGGGACAGGATGAAGACGGGGAATGGAAAAGACTGAAGGCCTCCCTCCGGGGCGAGGTGCTGACTGGTGGTCCCCGGTGCTCTGTGTGTGTCTTTCCCTGTGGACAAACTCCTCCGGCCAGCGAGGGAGTGCGGCGGGATGGGACGGGGACGGAACGGGCTGTCACCTCAGTCCCTGGAACCATCAGGCTGGATGTCCCAGGGGGCTGAAATCCTGGAGAGAAACACCCCAGGGCTGTGCAGTGAAGTTTCCCGGGGCAGGGTGCCCGCCCAGCCCCTCTCCCACACGCACCTCCTGGGGGTCTCTGACCCTCCCGGCCCTCACCGCCGCCCCGCGCTGCCCTCCCTGCCCGGCGGGGACACGCGGAGCCGCCCCGGGCCCCCCGCCGGTGGCGAGGAGAGCCGGTGCCTGGCCGGGCGCCCGTTTCCCGGGACTACGTTTCCCAGGGATCCGCGGCGCGGCCCCGCCCGCTGTCAGCGAGCGCTGCAGGTTGATCGCCGCGGCTGCAGATGAGCGGAGCCCGCGCGGGCGGGGGGGCGGCCGGGGCAGCGCCGCCGGGGCCGGGTCGGCGGCCGGCGCACTATGCGAGGCCGGGAGGATGGCGGTGGAAGGTAAGGGCTTCGCGTCCCCTGCCCGCCGCCCCCGGGGTCCCTCCCCTGTCTCCTCCCCCGGGCACTCACCTGCGCCGCGGCGGGGCCGCCCCGGCCCGGCCCGGCTCGGCTCGGCTCGGCAGGGAGGGAGGAGGGCAGTGCCCTCCGGCGGGGCCGCTCCGCCGCCCCGGCCTCGCCTGCGGGGCACCCCCCGCGCCCTCGGCCCGGCCGCCCCAGCGCCGCGCCTGCCCCGGGCCAGGTGCCGCCGGGCCGCGGCCGCCGCCCCCGCCCGCGGCGGGGGCCGCCCGGAGGCTTCGGTTGGCAACTTCCCGGCGGGCCCGGAGGTGCCGCCTCTCCCGGCACGGGCGGCCGACCTGCGCCGCCTCCCTCCGGAGCGGCCCCGGCGGCCGCGCTCAGCCCCGGGCGCCTCCCCCGCCCCACCGCCGGCCGGTTCCCGCGGGCGCCGCCGGCCCTCGCTACCGCCCCGATCCCCAAAGTGCCCCGAGGCCGCGGTGCCCACGAAGCTCCCGCGGCCCCCGTCGCTCCCGCGTGGGCGCAGGGCTGTGCCCGAGGGCCGAGGCGCTCAGCGCCTGGGCAGCCGGCAGCTGTGAGCTGTTCGCGGGGTGTGCCCGGCTCCCGGGGAAGGACCCGGTAACTGAGACGATGCCTGCCAAGACCTGGAAAGGCGGATGCTTTGCTGAGATCTTCCAGTTGATGCTGGGCTCCTGCAGCCGTCTGACATTGGCTGCGTGTTCCCTTTCCATGGGGCTTTTGGGAAGTTGCAGGAGAGAGGTATCTAGGTGTATGGGAAAAAGCAGGTCTGCTTTGCTGCCGTGCAGTTCCAAAATTCACTCAGTTTTCTAGTGCTTTAGAGCAAGGCATTGACAGTCCTGGGTTTTGTGCCTCATCTTGCTTTATTTGGTGCCCTTGGGAAAGTTTAAGAAATCCAGTGTGTAAACTAGCCATAGGACCCGTTCTCCTGTGCTTAATTTGGGATGTGTCAGTATTTTTGGGATGTTAATTTTGACACTGCCTTGAGCTTTGGTTCTCAGTTATGCTGAGATCTATAGTTCCATCAGAAGCACTTGCATTATTGCTGAAAATCATGCTGAAGCTGCCTTTTGCTGGGTACCCAAGTTAACAGTGCAGATGATAGTCCAGCAAAAACTTAGGCTTCCTGAACACAGTGTGGAGCTTAACATCCCTGAAAAACAGCTTCCTATGCAAATTCAAATAAAGGTGAACAAGATCACTGTATCTCCGAAGGTATCTATATACCTCTCAAGTTGTTCATACTGAGCCGCTTCATGAGGCAAACAGATTTCTTATGCACAGGCTGCTTTACTGAATGGCAGTTTTGAAGACTGGAATGATACAAAGGAGGAAGGTAGTGAGTGGTCCTGAGTAAAAGCATTACTTCTTTGGTGGCAAAAGCATAGTGACAAGAACTGGGCATGCGTGCCCAGTAGTGGGTAAGCAAGTAAATGAAATGGACTGCCATGCACCAGATGGTTCATATGCCAGCAGCAACCCCTATTTCAGTGTGCTCGCTAATGTCATCCTCCTTTATTTACTTGGAGTCCTTCTCAGTCTGTTTGCTAGATCTTTTCAGGTCCTTAATAATTCCTGTCATATCTGCAGTGCCTTCCATCTGAGAATCTCTAAAAGCTTTGTAAATATTAATGAAGAAAAGCTCTGCTAAAGCTTTGGGAAGCAGTGCTTTTTCCCTTCTCCTGAGCTGGGATTTTTTTCTTTAACTCCTTCTTCCCATTTCCTTCCCTCAGGATGCATCCTGCTGTGGTGTCTCAGAACAGGCTTTCTTGTCTGTATGTTCTGCATTCCTCCCATTTTGTTTTTTTATCTCTGAACTTTCTGGCCTTTGCATAATTCTGTTGCCCTTACCCAGGAATATCACTATTTCAGCACAAGTTGCCATGTGGCTGTGGCTACTTTGTGTGAACATAGTGCATGCCCATTTCAGGCCTTTTATTATCCATCGTTTTCTGTTGGAACTATGTTTCTTTCTGTGACTATGCTTAAAAGCATGCTTTTATCTTAATGCATCTTCTGCTGTATTGGAGCCCTCGGAGTGAGCTGTGTTCTGTTCCTGAACTGTGACTTTTGGCAGGGAACACATTGCATTACGACTTGTATTTGGGAAGCTGAGAGGTTACTTGCTCCTCATGGCTCTCATCGCTACAGTGTACAGATCCTACTTCAGTCAAAAGTAAAGTTGCTATCAAATCTTCTTCTAAATAGTTTTCTAGAAAAATGGCAGTTTGCTGAACTTAAAATATCTCGAACTCAGGAAGCACAGACAGTTGAGTTTTTTTATTCTTCTGTTTGATTTGTTTGTTTTAATTGGAAAAATTGTTTTCCTGGTTTGCGGCTTGGGATCTCAAGATGTACCTGCTGTACATCAGCTCTGGACGTTTGCAAATGAGGAAAGCTCTGAAAACCTGGTTTAACCTGAGGTTGTCTGTCCTTCCAGTTTCTGTAGTAGTCAGCTAGGATCTTGGCCAGGATGGGCTTCCAGGGTTTTCAGAATTTTTTATAGAGTGCTGAATGGTTGGGCCAACTGGCTTCTTGTGTAAACTTGCAAGTGGCTGGCTTTGTGATGCAACTGGCAGGGAGTGGAGAGGTCCCTGGGGCACAAGGGAGCCATGGATTCTGGAGCATGGGAGTTCCTGGCTGGAGCCGACATCCGCTGCCCCACCAGCTCCACCACGGCTATTGTTCTATGGAAACTGCTTGTTTGTCAGCCTCAGCCACAAACCCAGAGAATTTCTTTTGTTTCTCCTTTCACAAATGCTCTGTGTGGCTAAGGTGAAAATGTTTTGTAGCTTATACTTTGTGGAGAATCTTTGAAAAATTTGCTCATTTTATCTCAAAAATTGTTGAAATCTTACTCGAATTTCATTATTTTTATCCTATCTTAGTATGGAGTGCTGGACTCTATTTATGGAAACAAATCTCCATCAGTTTACTTAAGGAAAATATCCAAAATTTTTTACTGGGTTAGCTGACAGCAATGGACTAGCAAATATGAAGTAGGAATTTGGAGAGTACTACAGTTCCTTACCAGTTATATATAATATGTATTTGAGTGTCCCAGAAGATTATGTGGACTGGGAGGTCCTTTGGGCTTCATACTTCCAGTGCTTCCAGATTGATGAAAGGATTGGTGTGTGTATGGGGAAAGTGAGTTTGCACTCCTTAATATGAGCCCATCTAGATGGGAGCACTGCCAAGGTAAGTCTATTTTTAGAGCTAACAGTTTTGACAATGTTCCTTTAAGTGGTTTTTTTCCCTCTAGTAAGAATGAAAGAACTAGGTCAGAGCCAGTAGAAAAAGGCTTTTGATCTCTGCAACAGTGTTCTCAAAAAATTTTTTTTTTCATTTTGCTCTTGTGCAGCAGAGGTAAAGAGGAAGAGAGAGAAATGATTTCTTTTCCCCACAGTGTTTATTGCACAGGAAAGTGAGAGACTGACAGTACCCACCAGATGATATATGCATGCAGGTGATCCACACAGTTCTGTTGGATCCCCTGCAGCTCTGACCTGTGGTGTCTTTGAGACTCCTGAGCAAAAAAAAGGTGCTAATTATATCATGGAGCAATTTCATATTGTTTAATGAAGTTTGGTCTAACACCTTTCTTGCTGTGTATAGGCTTTCGAAAGGGCACACGTACATTTGTTGCAGGTCTCCCCCTGAAAGTTTGTATAAACTTCCTCTCTGCTATGGCTCTGCTGTAGTGGGCTCATGCTATTCAGACCCTGGATCTTCCTAGAGGGTAATGTTTTTTACTAAGAAGTGGAGACTTGCTCACATAAAATGGCAATGCTGGTCTTACCCCTTGGTAATCCTCAAGGGGATTAAGACTCAAAGGAGGTTAGGGCATTCTGGGGTGTGGTGTCAAGGTTAATTGCTGCAGGGCTGAAGTTACTTGCAGCTTGTAGCCAACTGTCAAAGTGATCCTCTGAATTTCAGCTATGTGATGCACCTGGGTGGAATGCCTTCAGTGCCTAGCAACTCCATGGATATTGAATAGTGCCATGTGTTTCCTCAGAGACCTGAGATACGGTGAGCTCATAGATGTGCTATGCCAACTCTGCCAAGAATGTTAAAGCGAGTTCAGGATCGCCTGAAGGACAGCTTTGAAGCAGCTTTCAGTGGAGGTATCTATCACACTGTTCCAGGGTGTGCCCAAAAGTGCAACTCTTTTGACAGGTATTCATTTATTCAACTTTGTCTTAGTCCTACACCCACTTCAAGCTCAGACTAGATGTCTCCAAGTTTCCAGAGAACGTGATCTAATAGATGGTGTTTCAGCGCACTTAACTTGCCTATGGAGCAAAGAAGTAACAAGCCCTCTGACTCAAAAATAGCACATACTTCCGTCAGTGTTTTTGTTTTCTTCAGTAATGTCTAACCGCTTCTTAGCTAGAGGGACTCCAACATGTGGCTTGGAAAGCTCTGCCAGTTGGAAGCAGGACTGAGAGACACATCTCACTTCAACTTTCCAGCTGAAACAGTCACACTGGGTTATAGCAGAGGAGATGGTTAAGACTGGTGCTGGAGGTGCACACAGGACAGATAGGCATAAGATTTGAATGCTAGCCTTTGGTCTTGTGTTCTGTATGTTATTTTGTGACCATTTATTGAAAAAATTCATCAGCAATTATGGGATACATAGGTCTTCTCCTATCCACATTCGTGTAGCAGCCTTCTTGTTGGGCTGTGACAACTACAGCCTTATTTCTTGGTCAGCAACAGCACAGCCTCTCTTCCACCCCTGCAGTGTGCATACAGCCTGGTGGCAGTGTGTGCTTCTCTGCTTTGAACCACTGCTTAGAGCTTTCCAATCTGTGTTGCTGCACTTGAAAAAGTCACAGTTCAGGATCCCTCTCCAAAGCAGAAATGTAGCTGTTTAAGTTGAGGAGTCTGTTTTGCATTGCCAAGTTTTTGTTTTGAACAGTTACAACCATGCTTCTCAGGCATCACGTAGGGAGGCTGTGAGC